AATCATATGGCTAATATCATATCCTACTTCAATAAGTCCTATAATCTGTGACTTGTCAACTAATAGGTACTAACAACAGTTACAGACCTTCAGAATTTTTAAAGCAGCAACCACACGCAAAAACAGTTGCAACGTTGTTGATACCTAAAATGCATACCACTTTATGGACTCACTGGATTGATCCCTCTAATATACTGGTAAATTGGACATCTATAAAGCACACATTCTGTGCTGTAGTATTTCTTACATCAAGAGACAAGACAGTGTAATGGCTGTACTAAATGCACAGAGCCCAATGTAAGATTTACAAATCTTTCAAATATTGTCATAAAAATATAGTTCTACTAAGAAAGTGACTTTGTATAAATGGCAGCTTTATTTTTAATAGATCTGCACTCTATGTGCATTACAAGCCATATCCACTTGTGCGAGAAATTTTTACTACTTTTTAGTCCTGTTCACACTGCATAGCCAACAAAGCTATGATAGAGCACGCTGGATTCTGTTCTTATTCACCCTCAGAATTCCAGCTACAGTGAACTCAATTAAACCTGTACAACCCCAGTTTCTTAACTGGGACTACCTGGGTGTAGCCAAGGAAAAAAACTATGAGGATCAGAATAGGCCTGCACAGGTGTAATTGAGAGCAGAATCTGGCCTGTGGAATCTTTTTTACTGGAGATGATCAGGAGTAAATTAAGGCAAGATACATTATTATTTGTATTACAGCAGCATTCAAAGACCCCAAATCATGAGCACAAAACACAGAATGACACCCTTGATGCAAAGAACTTATTATTAAATTTAGAATAAAATGCACCTAGGGAAAGGGAGGACAAGAGTAACAGTAGTAAGAACACACATTTACTTAGGTGCCATATGCACAACCTGATGGTTCTGAATCATTTAAATTTTTAAAATATAAATAAATATCAGCAATTCCCACCAGCACTCTACTTAGTCATTTATTTGGAGATTTTCTGTAGGCATCAGGAAGAAGTGGGTCTTGAAGATGCCACTAGAAGGATGAGAGGGTATTAACTTTACAAGCTATTTTGGAGACGGTATTCCCTGAACCAGGGATGGAGCGAAAGTAGATTCAAGGAGCTGCAGACATTGAACTGGGACACAGCCCAGGGACACACAGAAGACCTGATCCTGCACTTTGATCCACTCAGGTGAAATGTGTTTATGCAGAGCTCCATAGACTTCAGTAGGACTGCACTAGTGTAAGAGTCTGCCTGTGTGAATCAAGCCAGAATATGGATCTCCAATTATGGAATACAGAAATGGCAATATCAGAAAATGGGGAAGCAGGAGGGTAAGAAACTGGGACTGTAACAAGCACTTTTGCAGAAGGAAGACATTTGATTTGTGAAAGGAACATTTGTCTGGATTGTATCCAGGTCCATTTTGTTTTAAACCACCACTGGAAGTGATGTGTGAGCCAGAAAGAGTACAGCTCAGCTCTCAGCTCCCATGGTGAGGCAGTTATAAACTGAAAAAAATGAGCTCTGGAAATCAGTGAGACACAATATACAAGGAAATCCCATTACGCCGTTTTTACAGAGTCACTTTTCAGAGTAGAGCCATACATTAAGAGGGAAAAAAAAGATAAGGTAAGAATGGCAAATAAAGTGCTGCCAGTGAAAACATGCTAAGACAAATGTACAATAGCTCTCCAGTAGTGTTGTTTGCAGGATTTGTATATGTTCCTGTTCTAGCAAGAATGAATGTATTTAAATTAAATCAGTTAATTAATACTTTGAAACAATCCAGCTATCATTGCCATGCAGGACAAATTATTTGTATTGCCTTACAGTAAATATGACACTAACATAAAATTATAGCTAAATAGAATAGAAAATGAAGGTAAACATAGATACTGACAGATGCTTTATAGATTTGGCTGGAACATTTCTACAGATTTCTATTGTCCTTACCTCTGTGAAATGCGTTAGCTGGCTCAGTCTAGTTCATAGCGGACAAGGGTCCACACCAAATTGTTTACAACCTTGCCAATCTTATCGTCTTTAATGCACTTAAAAATACTTATCCCAAAAGAAAGAGATATAATATGATGATTCACAAACTGAAAGTGATTTAAATGTATTTTATTTTTGATGCTAAAAAAATAAGCCATTGCTGAAAGTGGAGGTTCATAACATTCCTCCTATCTGGGTGATGACGTGTCTCCATAAAAGCATAAAATTTCTGTGAGAGTTTATAGTACATACTATTAATGAACTAAGTAGCACTAAGGTAAAGTATAATTATGTAAACCATTTGGTGCCTAGATACTACCGCAATAAGTACCTCAGAAATGTATGTAATAATTAATTATAAGTATTCATAGTGTATATCTTTGAGCTACAGGTAAAAATATTACTTTTGACATATTCATATCCAGTGGAGATCTTCAAGGTACTGCTTATTAGATCAATTTTATCAGTGTCTGTGCCAAGGGATTCTTAAACTTTTCCATACTGTAAGAGTATCTTGTGGTCCACCTCCTTCCCATTCACCATCACATAACATAACTGTAGCAGCTACAGAAATTGCTTATACGGAAAAGTATTATTAGGAAAGTACTTGATATATTTCTAATTGCCTTTTAATGGTGATATAGTAGGTGGAAACAAGGAGGACAGTCATCACCATGTGAATAGTAAGAGCTCAACAGACCACCAGCAGACTATAGGCCACACTTTGAGTACAGGTTTCAGAGTAACAGCCGTGTAAGTCTGTATTCGCAAAAAGAAAAGGAGGACTTGTGGCACCTTAGCAACTAACCAATTTATTTGAGCATAAGCTTTTGTGAGCTACAGCTCACTTCATCGGATGCATCTCTAAGGTGCCACAAGTACTCCTTTTCTTTTTACTTTGAGAACAGTTGCCGTAAGCCAAATTGAGCATATTTAAATGTTAACCTTTTTTTAAAAAATGTCCTTTACTACATCATAGGTTAGAACAGTTACTCAGATTTGAGAGACTAGAGGGTTTGATATTGGAGAGGTTAGACAAATATAATGTTTGTATTGTTCATATATTTTCCTCTTACTTACTCACAAATTATAAATATCCCTGGTGATGAGAGCTCTGCCTTGTCCAGTTTTAATCTAATATATTTTGCTGTTGTACGCATCAATATATTTGCCATGTGTCCAAACCTTTTAGACTCACATCCCTATTGTTAGGATTTAAAAAAACAAAACAAAATCAAGATGATTCACAACACGAGACTCCAGAAAACGTGTAAAGCTCAATGACCAATATAAAATGTGCTCTGTATTTGTACTTAGTTCCAAATGCAAGAAACATTAACCACCCACTTCCTGTGTTGTTCACTAAAACTTTTACAGCTTCTTCAGGACTGCTCCAGTACTGCCAGAAGGGTTCACATTGTGCCAAAGAGGGAATCAGAAATGTGAAATAATTGTACATTAAGATATTTAGAGTCTGAAATGCAGCATGGCTTTCTGAAAATAACTGAAAGTCAAAAGTCCATATGTTACAGTAGGTCATGCAGAAAATATCCACAGCCAATCTCTGCTCTCCTAGGTTTTCCATGGTTGCATTTCTGTAAGTGAGGGCAGGAATTAGTTCCAGGAGTGTTTCTGTAGCCCAAGAAACATACAAACAGGTTAATGGAGCCAATCCTTTTCTCATAATGAACTCTAAATCAAAGTGTGTGTGGTTTGTATGGATTCTCTTTTTTATTAAAAGGGTGTGGGCAGAAAGGTTAAAACTGGTTTCTTTAAAAAAAAATCAATGTCAAAAATATTTAGACCAAATTCTTTAACGGCTTTCACCCCATGCGATTCCACTGAAATCAACTGAATCGTAATGTTGCAAAGACTTATGCATGTATTTAACTCTACGAGCAGAAAAGATTTAATCCCATTGACATAAATGTGACCATTCACACTTCATCAAATTAAGCATTTGCACAAATCTTTGCGAGATTGGGGCCTTGGCCTGTATTGGGTATAATTCCGTATAGAATTTGGCCCCTGGTGTATTATTATATGTCCACGCTGCTGCTTAAAATTCAGCCAAAAGTATGACATTCCCAAATGATCCATTGCCACCAATGAAATATACTGTACCAAACTACTAGAAAGAGTCACCCTGAAAACATTTTAGGAATCATAAACATTTTAAAAACCAACGGCTGTTATTAGATACAAAATACTATGTTTCACGATTACTTTTATTTAAGAACATCTACAAATCCACAAGGATTGACCAAAATCCAGTAGCTCTACAATTCAACAGCCTGATTTATGAAAGCAACCAAAAAGTGTGTTCAATTGAAAACATCTAGGGCTGGGTGGAGTGCGACGAAACCTTTCACATAAAAAAGCGAATCAAAGCCAAGTCTCCAATGGTGAAGCAACAGCTTCTTAAACAGCTCTCTGCAGCTCGGCTCCCTCCGAAAGATGTTGCTGAGAATAATTAATGAAATGATCCAAGAAAGGAAAACTGGAGCCCGCTGAGTGACTTCACCACCACTCGCCCTGCTGGCTCCAGGCCTCGAGGGGGGAAGCCACACAGCCGCGGGCCAAGCTCAGCCGTGCAGCACCTCGGTGCCTTCAAGAGCAGATAATCAGACAGAGGGAGAGAGAGGGGGACACCAAAAAAGCGAGAGAGGAATGCACCAGGCAGAAACAACCGGCGAGCAAGTCACTGACCACAGCCATAGCTACCAGAACCGGGGGGTGGGGGGAGCTGCTTCACCCCCTGCTCTCTACAAATCAGTCTCCACTGGAGCTAACAAAAGACTCCAGCGGGAGAGGGCAGCCCAGTGATCGGGGCTTCCAACCCGAGAGGCTAGAGACAAAGGGCTGTAGCGGCTGCTGCACGGTGCCCTCCGCCCCAGGTGCCCCGGCCGAGACCCTCCTGCTGCCCCCTCCAGGCCTCTCCCTACATTCAGGGCGGGAAGCTCCCGGCCTCCCTCCTTCTCGGGCTGTTGAAGCCCCCGCCCGGGGGGTACTCACAGGATGGTGGTTTGGGGCGACACGGCGGGGACGCTTTCCAGCATCAGATGCATGCAGCGCACCGTGGTGCGGAAGCACAAGCAGCGGCTGGGGCACCACACGCTGCCCCGCGGCGGCTGGGGCTGCGGGGAGGCGGCGAGGAAAAGCGCCCCGCTCCACAGCAGGAGCACGAAGCCGAGCCCGGCCGCTGATGTGCAGCGGGCCATGGTGCGAGGGGCAGCGGGAGGAGGGCGAGGGGCGGCAGCAGGTCTCCACCGTGCCTGCTCCGCTCCCAGCTGCGGCTGCTCTCGCTCCTGGACCTGGAGGCGACTCCCTGCCCGGCGCAGGCTGGAGAGAGGAGGGGAGGGACGGCAGTGGGACCGCCCCAGCCGGCGCGCTCGGAGAGCTGGGCAGGCAACCCCGCCACTGGCTCCCCGGCCCGACCAGGGGCGCAAGAGGGCCCCGGCCCCGAGCAGAGCGTTCCCCTGCGAGGCACCGCCCGGAGCGGGGGAAGCGGCTTCCTCCGCCAGAGGGAGCATGGAGGGGGCGGCCCGAGGAAGCGCATGGCCGAATCCCCTCACCCCCACCAGGGGCACAGAGCGACAGCCCGCTGCACGTGTCCGACCCTCCATCCCCATCCCCACCAGGGCCACAGAGCAACAGGTTACCCCACTGAGGGGACCACACACATCTGAACACTACCGCACCCAGGGCTCAGATAGCAACAGGTCTCAAATTACCCCGTGAGGGGTCTTCGCACATAGCCAAACCCTCCTCCTTTCCCTAGAGGGGCAGAGAGAGACCCCAACACGGCCCACAAATGACACCAAGGAGAACGCCCATTGCCAAGTCTCCTCCCTTCCCTAGAGAGACAGAGGAAGCATTCATCCCAAAGAGCATACACTAAATAAACAAGACAGAGGAGAACTGGACAGGTTCTAAATAAACAAGACAGGTGGGAGGAGAACTGGACACAGAGATGAAGTGGCCTAGTGGAATTGTCAAAAGTGCCTAGGAGCCTAACTCCCATTCATTTGTTCTTTTACAAATCCCACTAGGCACCTATCTGCATCTTTAGGTGCTTAAATACCTTTACAAATCTGGCCCAAAATGTCTTACTGAATGTCATACAGCTGATCAGTGGCAGAGCCCAAAATAAAATTGAGCCCTGTGCTCTATCTGCTTGATTATGCTGCCTATATCAAGAAGTGGAGCCAAGAGGGATGTCTGAGTCCATCCAGGGGGAACGAATTTCACAATGAGGCCAGTGTGCTCCCCACATTTTCCTTGAGCAGCAGGGGCCTGGTCTCCACTGGTGATGGGAATGGGGCTACACAGCATTCTACCAGGGTCTAATGGTTACTACTCCTATCTATTCTGGATGCTGTCAGCAGACTCAAGCAGACATGATAGCACTGGTTACACTCAAGTCAAAACCATGTGTGCTAAATATATACTTTTTTCAATGGGTCTGGGAATCAGGGCGTTGGGCACCTGCCTGTTGTGCGCATTCCTATAAAGTGGATTCACAGCTTGTTGAAAAAAACTGTACTCAAAGAGTAGTTGTCAATGATTTGCAGTCAATCTGGGCAGACATATCTTGAGGGTCCCTGCAGAGGTCTGTTCTAGTGCTATTCAATATTTTCATTAGTGATTTGGATAATGGAATGGAGAATACACTCATAAAATTTGCAGATGAGACCAAGATGGGAGGGGTTGCAAGCACTTTGGAGGACAGGATTAGAATTCAAAATAGCTGTGATAAATTGGAGAATTGGTCTGAAATCAACAAGGTGAAATTCAATAAAAGACAAATGCAAAGTACTACACTTAGGAAGGAAAAATTAAATGCACAATTGCAAAATGGGGAATAACTGGCTAGGCAGTAGTACTGCAGAAAAGGATCTGGTGGTTGTAGTGGATTACAAATTGAGTCTGAGACAACAATTTGATGCAGTTGGGAAAAAAAGACTAGTATAAGTGTATTGACAGGAGCATTGTATGTAACACATGGGAGGTAAAGCTTTAGTAAAGCTTTTGATACTGTCTTGCATGACCTTCTCATAAACAAATTCGGGAAATGCAACCTAGATGGAGCTACTATAAGGTGGGTGCATAACTGGTTGGAAAATCATTCCCAGAGAGTAGTTATCAGTGGTTCATAGTCATGCTGGAAGGGGTCCCACAGGGATCAGTTCTGGGTCCGGTTCTGTTCAATATCTTCATCAATGATTTCAGATAATGGCATAAAGAGTACACTTTTAAAGTTTGTGGATGATACGAAGCTGGGAGGTGTTGCAAGTACTTTGGAGGATAGGATTAAAATTCAAAATGATCTGGACAAACTGGAGAAATGGTCTGAAGTAAATAGGATGAAATTCAATAAGGACAAATGCAAAGTACTCCACTTAGGAAGAAACAATCAGTTGCACAGATACAAAATGGGAAATGACTGCGTAGGGAGGAGTATTGCGGAAAGGGATCTGGGGATCATAGTGGACCAAAAGCTAAATATGAGTCAACAGTGTAATAATGTTGCAAAAAAAGCGCACACCCTTCTGGGATGTATTAGCAGGAGTATTGTAAGCAAGACACGAGAAGTAATTCTTCCTCTCTACTCCACACTGATTAGGTCTCTGCTGGAGTATTGTGTCCAGTTCTGGGTGCCACATTTCAGGAAAGATGTGGACAAATTGGAGAAAGTCCAGAGAAGAACAACAAAAATGATTAAAGGTCTAGAAAACATGACCTATGAAGGAGATCGAGGGCCAGATTAAAAGGTCTGATGGGCCGGACGCGGCCTGCAGGCCGTTGTTTGCCCACCCATGGTCTAGATAATACTTAGTCCTGCCATGAGTGCAGGGGATTGGACTAGATGACCTCTCAAGGTCTCTTCCAGTCCTATGAGCCTATAATTATCCTGTTCTACTTGGAATTGATGAGTACTCACCTAGAGAACTGTGTCCAGTTCTGAGCACTTTAAGAAAGATGTGGGAAAACTGGCAAGAGTCCAGAGTAGAGCAACAAAAATGATAAAAGGTTTAGAAAACCTGACCTGACATCCTGACTTCCAAAGTGCTTGCCTGATCTATGAGAAAAGGTTAAAAAACTGGGCATGTTCTTTCTTGAGAAAAGAAATCTGAGAAAGGACCTGTCATAAATATAAAGGGAAGGGTAAACCCCTTTGAAATCCCTCCTGGCCAGGGGAAAGCTCCTCTCACCTGTAAAGGGTTAAGAAGCTAAAGGTAACCTCGCTGGCACCTGACCAAAATGACCAATGAGGAGACAAGATACTTTCAAAAGCTGGGAGGAGGGAGACAAACAAAGGGTTTGTGTCTGTCTGGGTGCTGTTCTTGCCTGAGACAGAACAGGAATGGAGTCTTAGAACTTTTAGTAAGTAATCTAGCTAGGTATGTGTTAGATTATGATTTCTTTAAATGGCTGAGAAAAGCATTGTGCTGAATAGAATAACTATTTCTGTCTGTGTATCTTTTTGTAACTTAAGGTTTTGCCTAGAGGGGTTCTCTATGTTTTTGAATCTAATTACCCTGTAAGATATCTACCATCCTGATTTTACAGGGGGGATTTCTTTATTTCTATTTACTTCTATTTTTTATTAAAAGTCTTCTTGTAAAAACTGAATGCTTTTTCATTGTTCTCAGATCCAAGGGTTTGGGTCTGTGGTCACCTATGCAAATTGGTGAGGCTTTTTATCCAACATTTCCCAGGAAAGGGGGGGTGCAAGTGTTGGGAGGATTGTTCATTGTTCTTAAGATCCAAGGGTCTGGGTCTGTAGTCACCTAGGCAAATTGGTGAGGCTTTTTACCAAACCTTGTCCAGGAAGTGGGGTGCAAGGTTTTGGGAAGTATTTTGGGGGGAAAGACGCGTCCAAACAGCTCTTCCCCAGTAACCAGTATTAGTTTGGTGGTGGTAGCGGCCATTCCAAGGATAACGGGTGTAATATTTTGTACCTTGGGGAAGTTTTGACCTAAGCTGGTAAAGATAAGCTTAGGGGGTTTTTTCATGCAGGTCCCCACATCTGTACCCTAGAGTTCAGAGTGGGGGAGGAACCGTGACAGGACCTGTTAACAGGCTTCAAGTATGTAAAGTACTGTTAGACAGTGATCCGTTGTTCTCCATGTCCACTGAAGGTAGAATAAGAAATAACCATCTTAATATGCAGCAAGGGAGCGTCAGGTTAGATATTAGAACAATCTTTCTAACTATAAGGATAGTTAAGTACTGGAATAGTTTACCAAGGAAGGTTGTGGAATCTCTGTCACTGGAGGTTTTTAAGAACAGGTTAGACTGGGGTTTGGGACCTCTCAGGGGGTCACAAGGTTTTTACATGGGGAGTTGTGAGCTGTCAGCCTGCATCCCAAACCCCACTTTGCCTCCAGCATTTATAATGGTGTCAAATATATAAAAAGTGTTTTTAATTTATAAGGAGGGGTCGCAGTCAGAGACTTTCTATGTGAAAGGGTTCACCAGTACAAAAGTTTGAGAACCATTGGGTTAGACAAACACCTGTCAGGAATGATTAAGGTATACTTTGTCCTACCTCACCACAGGGGTTGGGAGGAAGAATGTAGATGATCTCGAGGTCTCTTCCAGCCCTACATTTCTGTGTTTCCTTCATGCAGCCCTGCATCTAGGTGTATCCAAATACCATCAAGCAGGAGTCCAATGAAGCACAGATGATAAGATTTTTAACATCTGTACAATCTTCTTTGAGCGGCCTTGCATTTTGACATCTTAAGTATGTGGAACTGTATTTGTGGGCAAATTTTGGAAGAATACCACTACTTTTTTCTAATTTGAGCCTCGGCAGTTGGAATACCTGTAAAGGGTAATAGCAGGAATTATTGCTACATCAGCATTAACTCCCTGTACCACTTCAGACTGGAAATCCATTGAGTTAGCCATCATTTAGGTTTTATATTGCCACCCACCACCACAGTATCAATACCAATAGGAAAGTCCTTAGCAGACTTCATAGAGTCTTTGGCACTATTCCAATTTGACAGTAAAAACTATACTATGAAAGTCCTTTTGTTTTTGATATGTTAAATTTTATTATTTTCTTCTCTTTTGTTGTGGGTGGTGATGGTAGTAGATAATTGGGCCAAAGAGGGTATTAGTGTTGTGAGTGCCATTCTTAGGACTTTTTCAAAGAGGAAGGTTCTGCGGTGTTTCCTGAAGATGTCCAGGCTCTGAATTTCCTCAGGAAGTTGGTTCCAAAACCAGGTCTTCTTGACCAAGAATGTTCTATCCCTGGCTCCCACACACTTCGTCCTGGACTTTGTGTTCTACATTGTCTGACAGTGCAGTGGTTCATAGATCAGATTTTGTCTGTAATGTAGTTGGGGCTTGA